ACTGTTTAAATGTGGTTGATCTACAGCTGTATAGCAATGCAGCCCAGCTACTTACAGGAACTGTACTGTCATGCAAATCAGGGGACTTCACAAGAAATTGTCTCAGGGGAAGTGGTTTGGTCACATACCAGCAGTGTTTTTCACACAGGATTCTCGCCACATCTTGTACACATAGCACATTATAATGGCCCTCCTTCACAAGGTTGTTGGCAGTGGTGTAGTAGAATCGAGGCTCCTGAGGGTGAGAGCGATGGGACACTTTGATTAGCAGGGCTGATATCCTCATGGACCATCCCTCTCGGACTCCTCTGATCTTTCTGAGCTCACCTGCTAGGAGGGAAAGTGGATTTTCCCAGGAATTCTATGATGTCATGAGCTATAACATTCTCACATACACAGATGATAGGAGATGATGGATGGACGGATGGACAGATGGACGGACGGATGATGCATGATGATAGAAGGTAGGCAGGCAGATGATTCAACAGAGCTACCCGCATTTTTGAGCTTCCCTTGCAAGCATGGCTAGGGGGACTCGGCTAACCCTTTCGCCACTGTGTTTACCAATGTAGTTCTGGATCTCATTGACATGCAGATAATATACCTGTCAAGGGTAGAGAAATTGTGGTCCCCCAGAAGCTGTTAGACTGAAATTGCCGTCAACTCCTGCTAGCATGTCTTGTGATGAGGAACTTTGGAAGTTGTAGTCCAGTGACAGCTGGAGGACCACAGGTTCTCCGGTCTTGCTGCAGAAGTGCTAGGGTTATACGATATTTCTTTCAGTTCTCCTTGCCTTCAAAATACTGCTTCACTTATCGAAAAAACCCCCTGTTCCTGGGCAGCTTTGTATGGAACAGTTCAACAGCTGCTAACGACCATCCTGAATGCTCTTGCAAGGCATTTTCATTGCACCTGGATATGTTTCCTTCATTAGTTGCATCACCTGAGAATGACATAATTGTAAATGACAACTCAAGTTTAAAACAGGTAGGTAACTAATGTCTCTCCAGACATTGTGGCCTAAAATTTCTACAGCCTCTCTTTATTCATTATACCAGCCTGAGTTGGTGGGAGAGCCATAAGTTGCTCAGGCTTGGCTTAAAACCAATCTGCATTCCAGTGGCTAAGGAGGAATTGAATAGGTTTGGAATCAGATGGCCCTGCTAGCTCCTTTGGATGTATGAGAAATCCTGAACACAGACTCAGACATAATCTATGGTTAAAGTCCATGCATTTCCTAACTGGTGATGCAGTTTTCAAATCCCCCAACAAAGTGATCAACAGCAAGTGTCTCTTTGAAGAATGTGCATGAAAAAATTTGTCCTTCTGGGAAGTGCACACAAAAAGGGTCAAGAGGTATCAACGGATTTATTTCCAAGAAAGTATGTACAGGATACAGGGCAAATCACACTGAAATACATGTAGGTCAGTACATAATATAGACTAAACATCACTCTAATCAGCTGAGTTGTTCACTTGAAATGTTGAGAAATGTTTCTTACTTGAAAGGTAAGGATGGGGAAATAAGTGATTTTTCACATTCCAGGAAGTTCTCCAAAAGTCCTCCTTGGAACTCAGTTCATTTCCTTTGTCTTCCTAAAAGTGAGCACCTCCTTTGGGAATCAGGAAAAATGTACACCCCGCCCCCCTCTCCAGAGGCTGAAATGTGAACATGTGGGTGTTGGGTGTGATGCATGTGTGCACTTTTAACACGAACACAAGTTCTGGTAATTGAAATAAAAAATCCTCAAGAATTACATTCAGGGTTCACATGGGACACTGTTACATGCATTGCAAACAGTAACAAAACTGACCTGAAATACGTGTTTACTCAAAGGTGTGGGGCTGGGCATACAATCCGTGCAGATGCATTGAGGGAAGATATATCTGCAAAGAAATCATTCTCTTTCTCAACTGGCTGAGCAATTTCATTACCTGTATATATTTGGGGAGGAAACTGTGGGATGAAATCTGTATAATAATGCACACAGCATGATTGCAAACTTTTGCTAAGGTTGCAACACAAGGAAGTTATTTCCTGTACCTTACAGAATGAATAAAGTCTTTCCCCCAAACATTTCTGAGCTTCTTCTCCCAAAATGCTTATAAATGCTAACAAGATGAGATTTCCCCCTTCATAACCATTGACTGCAAGCACAATGCTCTGCATAACTGACTTATTACCACCAAACAAAATAGCTTCCCCTCCATGCACAAGGACCATGAACTGAGTGTCCTGCCACTCTGAATCTAATAATAGCTGCACTCAGACAGAATGCCCCAAATCTTTTCCGAAATAAATGTGCAAATGAAAATGCAAAAAAGGACAGATTTTTCTCCAAATTTCCACAAACATCTTCTTTTGTGAAGCTACATAGGCTGACCCGTGCTTCAGCCTTAATGCATTTGCCAATCAAGCCAGGAGTACCATCCAGCCGAATTCAGTGCAGGATTTACTTCTGAAGATACCTGTGTAATGTACTGGTATTAATATGGAATGAAATGTCTCTTTCTGTAATCAGATTGAATGGCAGGGTTGCTCTTCTAGTCCTTGTTGCTCCTCCAGGCAGTTTCCAAAGAAGTCTGCAAATAATAGACTTTAACAATAACAAAAAAGAATGATTTTTCTCCAATTGTCTTTTTTAAAATTCCTTTTTTTCTTTTTCCTTTTCTCTTTTCCCAAATTACCCAGCACAAAAAGGCATGACTTCTACATAATGAAATATGCCTTTCCCTAGATAGGGTGACCACCGGTACCAAACTTAAGAAGTTGTCCCACAATATGGTGGCCAAAGTGCTAGCTAACCATATATACCAGTGGTAGGCCTTGTCCACGCAGCTTTGGGTAGGCACCCATGTGAATTTCACTTAAGTCCAGAAATAATCAGAGCCTGTCCTGCTTGGAACAGTGAATGCAAACAGGAATGGGAGTGCTTCCCCCCCCCCCCCCCCCAAAAAAAACGCTTGACATGCTCAAAGATTCAATCACATCCAGAAAATACAAATGCACCCACTTCAGCAGGAGAAAGCATGCACTTTTTTAAAATGTGCACACAAAATTTTGGGAATGTATGCAAATTTTGTTTCTGTTCACAAATCACTGAAAAATGGCCCATTTGCAACAGGAGTTCATCTTCTCCAAACCATATTCAGATACATGAACTTCCATTTGTATGTACAGAACATATACCTGAAAAAATGTAGAACTTCCTCAAATGTTCAACTATCTCAAAATGATGATGATGATGATGATGATGATGATGATGATGATTAAATTTATAAACCACCCCATTGGGTGGTGTACAATATAAAACAGAATAAAAACATTAACAGAATAAACATTTCCCAACAAAGTTAACATACATTTTCAACATAAATCTTCCTAAAATACATTAAATCATAATGAAACAAATATAAGTGACCTGACACATAAATTATGCCTCCTGCATAAAAGAAAATATAGATAAAATGTGCGTGTACACATACATTGTTTTATTGTAAGACCATTTCGTAGTGGGTAGTATACAAAAGTTTTAGATAGATAAATAAATCAAGCAAGCAAGCAAGCATCTGCACAAACACAAACATCTTGTCCTATCATACTTTCCTCATCAGTTGAAAAGAACTTCCTGGAATGTCCAGCCTTTTATTTAAACTCGTATAACTGCTTTCTCTGGCCTCTTCGACTTCTTCCTTTTTAGCTGGCTTGAGTTAGTCCTTGGAATTTGCCACTTTACTTACTAATCCTGGAGAATCAGCCCTGATATGGCATGTGGAAACACCGTCATTGCCGAGCCCAGCACAGTGGCATCTGTCACTGCTTAGATGAGGGACTAAATTCTCAATTACACAGGTTATCTTAAAAAAGAAAAACAAAAGCCAGTTGTGCAGCACAGTCTCCATGCCACGTGGGCTCCAACCAGGCACTGCCAACCAGATGTGGGCTTTTAAACTGCCCACATTTCGTCTACAAGGAAAAACTGGGCAATTTGGGGAATGATTCACATACTTGGGATTTTTTTCTCTCAACTTCCATGTTTGTGCAATTTTCCCATTGGTGAAAAACAATGATTGCAACTGCAGATTACAGAAAGGCAAACAGAGTGGAGATTTGTGAGATATTTACACTACAGTTGTCAGAAAGGATCTTTAAAATAAACACAGACACTGCTGGTCCCAAGCTGCAGCTCTTCCTGTAACAGTGAGAGTGTGATAAGTCACTTGTAATTTTTAAATGTGCTTGTGTCTGTCTGTCTGTCTGTCTGTCTGTCTGTCTGTCTGTCTGTTGAGGGGAAGGAAAACTCACAGTTGGTCACGGAGCTTCCCCATGCTGAGTACTGCAAAAGGCCTCCTCTGCTGAGAAGAGACCCTCACAGGGGGACTTTTCTCTCTGTTCAGTTGCTGAGCAGAAATAAGAGCCTTCCCCTGCCAGGAAGAGGAAGCAGAGCTGCTGACCGGTTGCCCTGCTTACTTCTAAGGCTAGCCCTGTGGAAGCTTGACTTATCTTACTTCTGAGTAGGCTTCCAGTCAGTATAAGTCACATCTTGGCCTCACCCACTTCCTGTGGCCATCTCCACTGTGCTTCTGACCAAGGAAGGGATACATCTGCCCAGTGCTTTTTTTGTCATAGAATGCATCAGAACGGAGTTCTGGCACCTTTTTTCGACAGATTTTCCGAATTTTAAAAGTAACTTTTGAAAATTTGATGTTTGGTCCACGTGGATTTGAATCGCCCTGTCGCGCGTAGCAGGTCGGTGGCAAAATTATTAAAACAGTGCATGCGGGCTGCTTGTGTGTCGAGTCCGATGCATGCGCGCTTCGTCCACGCTGGTTGCGATGGCGCTGCTCGGCTTGTGGCGCTGCTCGGCTTGTGATTGGTCATGTGGTCGCGTGCTGAGTGCTTACTGCGGGTGGCAACCGTTATGTTTCATTACACAACTGACATGTGTGGGTGTGTGTACAGTGATTGACTACATGCAAAAGGTAAATAATTTCATGAGTTCCGGCACCTTTTTTCTTACAAAAAAAGCACTGCATCTGTCCATCCTGGATGCCTCTGCTTTCTTGTTCTTTTGCTCTCAAATTTGGTGCAGCTCAGTGGTACGAGGTGCGGGGGTAGAGGTGGGAGGACAGAGCACTGGTCAGAATTGGGGACAGTGCTGTAGAGCGAAGGGAACTGAAGCCCTTAGTTTGGAGGGATTATGCGCCTGTCGGTGCTCTCTCCCTTGCTGATCCAAGCTTCTTCTTGGCAACACTGCACTCATACGTGATGTGTTGCCATGTCAACCACGCCCATTCAGTATCTGCACAGAAATGCACTGAGCATCTGCAAGAAATATAAATCTGAAAGAAGGCATCTGAAAGCAAATGTCAAAAGGACGGGAATTTCCATGCGAGAATCATTAGCATGGATTCAGTCGACTTCAGATTTACTACACCACAAAATAAATATGAACGGAAGTTGTTCTGTATGCTTTCCTTTTGAATTTCTAAATGCAGATCCCTAAAGAATATAAGATATTCAGAGTGCATCTCTATGTTCCGCTGGGGAATGGTGTGCCTGCATCCACCTTCTCCCATGGAAAGGATGCGGAGAGTGGCTCTCTTCCTCAGGTTCCTGCTTCCGATGTCAATTGATTGGTTTAGGATTTTTCTCGTTTCACTTGACTCATTAAAATAGTCCGTCAGGCGCACTGAAGTCACCCTCCCCAGGAACAAGAGCAATGCATAAAGGTCCTTAATGTACGGAAGCAGAGCAGTCTGTGCAAGCATTAAAAAGGAGATTTTTCTACAGGAGGCACACATCAAAGGATAAGCAAGATAAAGGGCTTGGCAAGGACCGACTGCAACGGGAGCAAGAGGGAGTGAGCTCAGAACCCGAGAGCTGACCAGAGAAAAACACGGCAAAGAGGAGAACTGGGGCTTACCTGAACTGCAGAGGGGAAAGGAGATCACACCTGCACTATGAGCAACCTGAACGATGAGAAGATTGAAAACAGGGAAGCTGCCAGTCAGAATCCACCCCCCTACTCTGAAAAACAGCCCCCCTATGACTACCCTGAGCCACCAAAATCTTTTGTTTTGCCAGCACAGCCTGTGGACCATAGGGCAGCTCCCCCTATGCCAAATCAGTACCAAGTGTATTATGGCCCACCTGGGGAAGGATCCAGCCAAATTCCAGTCCTTCAGGCACCACAGGCCATCTTCATCACGACTGTACAGCCCACCCATGAGCCTGATTACCTGGTCTACTCCATCTTTACTACACTTTGCTGTTTTCCTATCCTGGGTGTTGCTGCCCTGATTTTCTCTATACAGGTCAGTGTGTGTGTGTGTGTGTGTGTGTGTGTGTGTGTGTGTGTGTGTGTGTGGAGAAAGAGGGCAGGGGGAGAGGGAGGGAGGGAGGAGGGAGGTAGCAATAACAAAGGGAAAGGGAGCCATCCTTGTTGCCTGTTTTGCTTTTGCAAATGGTCTTGGAAGACACGGCACGCACCCTCAAATGTGCAATCTACTAAGAGGGCTGCACACTGTTATGCAAAGGAGGTCAGCCCTGGGGAAAGAACAAGAGAGCCTAAACTGGTGGTTGTTGCAGTGGACCAGGATGTGGGATGAGCTCAAGTCTTAGGAAGTAACTTCCATTGTTAGGAACTGTTCAGACTCTTGCAGCAAAAAAGCAAGAAGGAGATTGTTGGCAGTCTGCTCTCATGGACTTGAGCCCCCTGTAGAATTTTATCTGGACTACCGCATAACAACATTGAACTCTTGAATCCAAGCACTGTCTTGGATGATATTATCCCTGAGTTCTGCTAAGAGTCTCATCTCTAAGTTTCATCTACCAATGCCATTCCCATGAGTTCCCTTGCTGGAGGAGGTGCTTGATGGACATCTTCTTGTGAGAGCTTTAGAGCATAAGAAGAGCCCTGATGGATCCAACCAAAGGTCCATCTAGTCCAACATTCTGTTCAGACAGTGGCCACCAGCTGCCCATAGGAAGCCCCCAAGAGGGACATTAGTGCAACAGAGGTGCGTAGGCAAGCTGCCTTTGATACTGGAAGCAACACATCACTATCAGAACCAATACTTGAGGAAAGCTCTGCCCTCCATGAATTTCCCAAACCCCTTCTGGAACCCATCCCAATTCCTGGCCATCATTACACTTTTTTGAAGTGAAATTCGTAGCTTAACTGTTCACTTTTACCTGTCCAGAAGCCCCCACCAATCGGTTTTGCAAGATGACCCCATTGGGTCCTAGCACCGAGTCTCCCAATCCACTTCTCCACACCATATGTAATTTTGAACATCCCATCATGTCACCCTTTACTCACCTCTTTCTGTAACCTGAACGATCCCAGGCACTGTGACCATTCCTCCTAGTGAAGTTGCTCCAGCTCAGTAACATTTTAGTTGGCTTTTCCTCTTTCTCTAGCACTACAGTGCCCCTTTTAGGTGTGGCTACCTGATCTGCACACAGCATCCCAAGTGTAGTTGCACTGTACAATTACACAAAGGGAGAATGACTTTGGCAGGGTTGCACCCCCCCCCCCCCCCCCCCAATTCCTTTCCTAATTATCCTTAATTTGGAGTTTGCCAAATTTTGGTCGCTCCCTTCTAGCTCCGCAACCGCATCTGTTGATACTTGATGCTGAGTTCTTTTACCCTAACATACCTTTCTTTGACCATCTGACAAATGGCTTGTCTCTGAAGCATTTCTGACACAACATAATCCCTGATTACTACTCTATTTTTAATTGTAAACCAACAACAACCCTGAAAACGTGAGTTGCTCTGCATGTGTTTTCCTCTGAAAACCTCCAAGGTTGATCATCATCTTCCATCAAGTATGTTCTCCCAACCAGCTCAGCAGATTCTAACCCGTGTCAATTTAGATCCAAGGCCTGATCAGGTGGTGTCACAACCATCACTCCTGGCCATGCACATGTCCCCAGGCTTGATACACAAGGTCTCCAGACAGGGCTGGAAAGGTTCCTCCACCAAATCCAGAAAACCTCTGCTAGTCCACATGAATGAAACTGAGCCAGATGTGCTAAATGGTCTGACTCAATATCAGCCAATGTCTGGTGTGCCTGTGCAATATTGCTCTGGCTGTCCCTGGAGCAGCTTTGATCTTAATAAAGCCACACACGATGGGTAGATCCAGGGCAAGGCATCTCTGGAGGCTTCTACAAGGAAGTTACTGCAACAGGGAGGATGGGTGAGCCTCCAAAGTCCACAAAGGACTTGGCTATAGAAACATAGAAACAGAGCGAGTCAGAAGGGGCCTCCCGGGCCATCTAGTCTGACTCCTGGCTCCAGCCGGCTCCACTCACGACATGCCCACCATGTGCATGTCCAGGCTAGCTTTGAACACCCACACCAATGGGGCCTCCCACAGGCACACCAGACATTGGCTTATATTGAGTCAGACCATTTAGCACATCTGGATCAGTTTTGTTCATGTGGACTAGCAGAAACAGAAGCTGAAGAACCAATGGTGCCAATGGAGGAGGCTCTGGCCCCAGTCACCATGGTGGAAGCAAAGAACCCTGAACTCAAGATCCCAAGCACAAATCAACATTTTTGGTCCATGAACCTGCTTCCAGCATGACCTTCTCAAGAGTTCCATGGTCCATGAAGTCAGTGCAGCAGCTCTGCCACTCTCCTTGGCATGAGTCCTTGGAGAGGCTGAGGAGTCCTTGCCAGAGGCCCTTTTTTATGGCTTCCATTCTGTGGAAGAGATAGCAACTGGGAGAGAGTCTAGAAGGGAGCATCCAAGGCTTCAGTCTGGACTCAGACTGTGTAAGACCAAATTGCTCCCTAGGAACTGTAGCATCTCCACTGCCTTCCTGTGAACCCTGTGGGCTCTTGCTCACTCTCAAACAGGAAGCCCTCCTTCCAGCTTTGGATCAGGTGCTGGTTCTCCACTTGGCACGATGTTGCAGTGACCTACATAGTGATCATGTGGAAGGCAGTGAGAAAGCTTCTATTCATTCCTTGCCCAGCTCTGCTCCTCCAAATGGAGGCGCAACTTTGAATGGAGGCTTCACACTTTCAACCAGCAGCGAAAATACCTTTGGGCTTGCCTTTCTTTATATGCTTCATTTACTTTTTTCCCTCTCTACCTTTCCCCTCTCCTGTTTTCCCCTTCTCTCTCTCTCTCTCTCTCTCTCTCTCTCTCTCTCTCTCTCTCTCTCTCATTTAATTCAGTATCAACCAAGAGCACAACACTGTAGACGGGTAGAGGGAGAGCGCCACAAGAACCCAGGACGGGGTGAAAGGGTGAAATGGGCCGTTCTCACTCTGCGTCCCTCAGCTGCACAATATGCCCATTGTGCATGGACAGATCTGAGCTTGGTCCTATCTGTCTCTGCAGAATCCCTGAGCGGCATCCAAATGGATGGTTCAAGCCTCAGCCAGAGCACACTGTTCAAGTAATGCTTTGCTCTTCTAGTTCCCCATCCAAGGCCAAGAGGCCGCTGGTAAAGGTCAGCCTGAACTAAAGGAGCCCTTGTCTGCCAATACTAAGGCAACCGCCATCCTCTGTGTCTGAGACATGCTACCCATTTGCACTTTCTCCCACTAATCTATCTCTGATCTCTCTTTCTTCACAGACCCAAAGAGCCAATAGTGTTGGGAATGGCACACTTGCTCACCGAAACTCGCAGCGAGCACTCATCTTGGCTCATTCAGCACTTGGGGTGGGAATAGCGTTCTGTGTCATGTATTTCATATTACAGATTTATGTTTTTCACTAGGAAAGTTAGCAGCCACCAAGTGACACTCCAAGAATGTGCTGCACAGTGTTCATCCTGAAAAAGATTAGCTGGTCAGTGTACAATTCAGGGGCGTCCTGGTCTGGCATCGTGCCATTTGAAATGTTCCATAAATGCATGCAGTGCAGGCTGGATCGCACGCCAACGCATGCCATTTGATTCCCACATGCTTGGCTTGAGGACCAGAGGCACCAGGTGTGACTTGCAAAGCATTGCGACCGAGGTGGCAGCAGGTGATCCAGTGATAGGTTAGCGAGGGCCACCAGCATCAAATGCTGAATACCAGTTGTGATCCAGCTGTACAATACACAGCGCTTCCCACACAAACAATAGCAACCAGACAACAATAGACCAGGCAATGGGATTACTGTCAATGATCAAACAGGAAACATTGGCTTATTTCATGGGGAGGGGGGCAATACTCATATCCACTGACCCACGAATAAACTATCATGACTGCCCTTAAGATCATAAAATGGGCTTAGATCATCGCCCCTGCCCAGCTTTCCTTCCTATTCTGCATTTCCTTCTCTGGCCTTCTCTCATTCTTCCAAGTGTTCCCCGCTCCAGCCTTCCTGCTTTACCCCTGTGGGTTCTTTAGCTCTGCCACAGAGAAGAGAGCAGGAGTCACTCAAGCAATATGCCTATTTTCCGAGAATGAAGCAGTGCCCGAGCTATGCCACCAGCATGCATTGCTCTCATTGTGGCCTGTCCTGCTCCTTTAGTTGCCTGCCCTGTATGTTTCCGCTGCCAAAATGATGGTTGCACTTGCAGCAAAAAGATACGATGGGGAAACACGGCTGCCCTGCAATCTGCGATCGTCCTTGGCGTGTAAAGATGGCAGGCCGTGCACTCCGTGGTCAGGCACCTCAACATTCACAAATGTGCGTTGCTGTGGGTGTGCTTTGGAGGATGTTTCCTCAGCCCCTTCCAGCCCCCACTCAGAGATTTTCATGTCTACAGACCCTAGGCAGGCTGCTGAAGGGTAATGTCAGTAACTCATGCTAATCAGTTTCCACAAGATATTTCCAAAAGGCAAAGCGTACCAGGGTCCAGAAGACTGGCCCAGTATCCCCATTAATTTAAACTGGAGTTTGCTGGAATGTGTGAATTTCATCTCAGGTATATGCCCATTCTCCCTAAGCCATTCAGCTGATTCTTATAAGCCTGCCCTGATTCTTTCCAGGATCAGAAGGGGTCAGC